AAGACCCCACAAATCAATAATATTTACCCTTCCCTTACAAAGTTCTGGTTCGCGTTGACTTGTGATCGTACACCGATGTCTCCGAAGTGTCGCGTTTGTTATTTGTTCTGTTTCCGTATGCTGTTACTTGCGTCGTTCTTTTTATTTTTCAGCCCATGTACCGATGTTAATAGACGAGTAAAGCGTATTCTCCCGGTTTGCGCGTTCTCCCTCTCTAATCTCGACCGTACTCACTTGTTGTCGTCCGTAACACAAAGCATTGATCATATCTGGTGGGAATATCGGGTGAGCAATGACGCGGTTCGTCGCCGTGTTAGGTATGGATAATCGCTCTTTAAAAGAAGTAATCTCTCGACACCGCCTCCGATGGCTTGGTCACGTTATACCTGGTCATCGGCTACACTGCCGTGCTCCCTTTGCACGTGCCAGACAAGGATGGAAGAAGAGCCACGGCGGTCAGGTCATAACATGGTGTAGAGGTATTGAGAAACTAGTTTCAGATTGCCTTCGGTTGGTGCAGTCATCATCATTATCATCGTAAAGAGAAATACAGTGGGGCGAAATTCACTGATCGCTGCCAAACTCGTAATGCATACAAGGTTAATGGCAAAGTTTAAGGAAGACAGGGAGTAGATCTACTTTGAGAGAGGGAGAAGGTGAACCACTATGATCAACATACAGTGCACAATCGAACTCTGCATACATTCAAGCATTCTGACCTAGCAAGAACGCCACTGCTGTCGGTTCGCTGCTATATTCTTCAATGTCTCCAACCAGCCGGTTGTAGAGTCTTTCGGACCCCAACCTGGAAGGCACGAGACACCTACTGTAGCTAATGGCTCTGTGCATTTCTTCATGCATCGTCTCCACGTCATCTGCTGACCACGTGGTTTCCTCCAGCACGGAACGGCTCCAGTGAATAAGACGCGATGTGGTAGATGACAGCTGCGCATACGCAATACGCGTCCTAGCCAGCGAAGCCTACTAATCTGATTTCGATGTGCTAGGAGGTTTATACCTGACAGACTTCCAAACACACGACGGATTACTTCTAGATTACTAGACCGTTCGCTCCATCCTACGTGGGCTAAACTACGTAAGCACCGATAGTCGAAAACCTCTAGTCGATGGATATCTTCTACTCGCAAATTCTTGGTCTCACAACAATATATCAAGACTGAACGAATGGCGGCACAATATACTCAACCTTTCAACGTCAGTGAAACGTCGAACCTACGCCAAAGGTGCTTTAGTCCGGTGTA